CAATCGTCCTAATCATCCCAGTCATTCCTAATTACCTTAATTATCCCAGTCATTCCGATCTTCCTTAGGTCACACCGTCATCGGTAACCCAACAACAACAACGAGATAGAAATTGCTGACTCATCAAAACAAAACATTAGAGGCGTGAGACTGTGACACCCTGTATAAGCAATCCTAAACTTAACATCGACACAAGTTAAAAAAAAAAATCGCGAAATCACAATAAAAGTAAACCATAACACCTGCTGGACACCTGTTGTAAGGTAATTAAGGCAGGTAGGAATAAATGGCCCAGTTGTATAGATGACTCAATATTTCACAGGTGAGGAAGGTATCTTGTGCTAAGGTAATTAAGCTCACGTATGGGGAAGGTGAGTTTAAGGTGTTTAATTATCATGACATTTGTGAGTGAATCCGCTTTTTTTTTTCCTTACGGATATTAATAATTAAATATATGTGTTATTTATTTCAGTATTCTCTTAAGGTTTAATATATGATCAGCGTATATATATCTTATTAGTGTTGATATAGCAATGTGGTATATATTTCAATACTAATAAAGCAAATTAAGTAATGAGCGAATTCTTAAGGACGGTACAATATATAGCTCAGTAATGTTTGTTTACTTTTTACATTTGTGTTATAGTAATTTGTGATGAAAACCTAAAATGATGACCGTTAAAAAAAATTACATATTTAAGTAAACAAAATACCATTTAACAAAACTATCCAGAACATTAACAATATATATTAAAACTAACAATATACTGAAGATTAAAGACTCTTATATTTAAATAATTTATTCGAAAAGATAAAAACGAAATTGGTACCATCTTATCAGTGAATATAACACAACGTCACCTTAACAAAAACCTATTCAGAACACCAAATATAAAACTCCTTATACTAATTATTCCTCAAAGTTAAACAAGTTTCCCTAATTGTGTTTCTCATTCGGATATACACAATGACTCCACCCAAACTACAGCCCAAAGTTTCTCAGTAAATATTATCCCTAGTGGGGTCAAAGTAAACAGTGGGGTACAAAGTATTCGAATTATAATATCAAACTTATGAATAAAGGTAGTTAATATTTTTAGTCAGTTATATGTAAAGGAATGTAAGTTATTCATTTGATTGTATAATTAATGAGAGGTTATACGTGTTAAGTGGACAGTTATTTATGGTGTATTGGTGTATTTGGTTGAAGATAAAAATTACACGTAAACATACTTAAAAAAAAAACACACACACACACACACACACACACACACACACACACACACACACACCAAGGCGTAAGCGAAAACAAACACACTCACTAAGTATGATTGATAGAGATGGAGATAAACAGATAAGAGGAGGGTAGAGAGAAAGAGAGACGGGAGGGGGGGAGAAGGGTGAGGGGGAGAAGGGCGAGGGGGAGAAGGGTGAGGAGGAAAGGGAGAGGGTGAGGGTGAGGAAATAATTAAACAAATATAACACACACATCTAGTATTCTTATAATAAAACACAAACCATTAAGTGGCAATAACGTCACACCAAAACACACGACACAGAATTCTACCCCTTCACGCATATCGAGTTTGTTCTCCAAATATATAAACGCATCTACATCTTGTATATAAATATTTGTAAGTTATGTTTGTTAATTCGTAAAATACGCTACTAAGGTGACAGTCACAATATGAGCTTCAGGCGGTGGATTCGTGACTTGACACAAATACATTGTTACCGAGTTTTTCTTCTTCTTTTTTCTTCATATATATATAATTCTCTCTTGTTTTTGCTATATATAATGAGTTGGAAATATAAATTGCGTTTCGACAATGTGTTTTGCTACACTCTTCTCTGAGGCGAGCATGAAGGAGTGGCTCCACACCCCTTTGGGTCACACCACCATAAACTGTGACACATGGCCGGCTGGGTGACATCCTCAATGACACTATATAAACACACACACACATCTGGACATAACCGAAGGCAGGAATACCAAACACCGAGTTATGAGGACCGTCAAGATGAGGCGACCCGATACGCTCCGCCATATTCCAGCCAAAGGGGTTACGTGTTCAAATATATATTTTTTTCCTCTCATGCGACCTTCGATTAAACGCCAGCGAAACGGGTAAATAAATCAGTGTTTGTCGTGAGAGAGGATGGGTGGGCTTGTCTGATCCTAGGAGACGATACCACCGCCTCCCACTATATGGAAAAATTGCCTCGTGCTAAAGGTTTTACGGGGTACACGCCCGAATTTAGGACCGCTCATTTTGACAGATATTCCAGTGCGTCTGTTTGGTTTCCACTAACTCTTGTGTGTCGCGGGATGAACATGATCTCCGGTATGTACACAGATAATAATATTACTACAATACCTTTGCACTCACAATTTTGTTTCATATATTACCAGTTCCTTACTGCGAAAAAAAAATTAGGACACCTTCAAAAAATATTACATGTGCATTATGTTATATTAAGAGAGGCGTTTCTCACCATCTTGAAGAGAGTTGTACCCCTCCCAAGGTACTCATTTTACCGTCTTCAGGTGTGATGATCATTTCCAGGAGATGAATCACGTTGTACTTTCGTCAATTTTATCACCTGACGCTTTGTAACATTTTGATGAAAGAAAAAAAGAATTCTCTGACCTCAGTTCACTCATCATAATAATAATAATATAAATACTAATACTACTAATAATAATAATAATACAGTGTACTGCACAAGTATCTTTACGTTTTTGTGTAAGACAATAATTATGACCGGACGGACGAAGGATTTTGACAGCCCTACCGAGTAAACAGGAGTCGCCGTTTTCATTTTTAAATTCATCAAACCCCTTCGTAAAGTTACCGTATTGTAGTTGATTTGATATGAATTTACTTTACATGCATATATAAACACTTATAACACATAAAGCCTTAGTAATAACAACAATTATTTTTTATAGTGCATTTCTTTTATTTGTACTAACACCTACCCTGTTCCCTACATTCAAATAACCTAATAATTAACTAGAAACATAGACTTTGATGACTGTTAGATTTATAAAGAAGTTTACCCAAAAATTATAGATGACGTTTGCATTTTCTATGTTAAAAATACAGTACAAAGAAAACAATTTTTATGGTTAACTACACTAATTTTCTTAAAGCTTTCTATACTTTTAAGAAATTGATTTTATTGGTTTGCGTGAAATTATTGTGAAAGTATCAGGCTTTTATAACCATCCTTAATAAATTAATTTATATATTAAATGTAAGTAATTATTTTTAATTCACCGGTGGCTCTTCTGACGTTATTTTTGGTCAACAAAAAAGTAAATTGTTACTTTCATGATCGTGTTACTTTTAAACCACAAACATTTATTTTTTATATTTATCGCTATTAAAGTTTACGTAAGAACTAGTGAAGCGAATCAATCACAGATATTGTTTGACTCAACTTAATTCCAGCTAAATCTATCAAAACTTGACCTCGCTTAACGCCAAGGACACGATCCCCGATAAATTGAACCTTCTTTGTCAAACTTATTTTTGTTCTTGATAGTCTTGTACAAACTCTTTTTAAGCCTAAACCAAACCACTCATAACATAACGCAATGTAAACAGGACTACCTTAACCTTCTCTGTCCTAAAACGGAGTAAAATTAGGAGCAGGACAGATACCAAAAATTATTGGGGTTTTTTTACAATTCCACGTAAAGAAAAATTTGATAAAGAAAATCATGGAACTCAGTAAATGAAAACAAGTGTCTGGTGATTACACTCGTGATGTTTGCTGTGATGTGAGAGTTTGGCTGATGAGCGGGAACATTGTCTTTGTTATGGGTACATGTATGTAATGTATTAAAGAAATCAAACAAGATCAACTACAATGTAACATATACAAACACGTCAACATATGAAGGAGAGCTGAAACATGTAAGAAAATATGCCACAGACTTTACTTCACGTAATTTTTAGCTCTACTTATTAAAAAGGGGGATTAAGCTTGTAAATCTGATTCTAAGGTGTTTACTGGGCGCCATGGACCTTAATATGAAGCAAAAGGGGGTAAATAATGTTGGCTACACCTAATATCCTTTTAAACATCTTAAAGTTTGTTGTCATGAATTATATAACATCAGAATATTTCCCTCGAGACTGTAAACCTAAGTCTTGATAGTGCCTATGACTGTGAATTTGTCCTTCAATGTTCAAAAGGTATTTCAAACCAACGATATGATTCCTTCGATAACATTCTACGGCAGGGACAGCATACAGTAAATTGTCCTAACCAATATTTATCAACTGGCGAGTGAAATAATGAGTTCTGAAAAGATGGGGGAAAAAAATCTATGTTGTTCTTTTGAAACGATTATATATAGGTAACTGATAGCTAGGCATTTTTTTTTTAGCGAATTTAGTAAATATTTTCCATTAGGACTTGACTGAATACATATAAGAGGCCGAAAAATGACAAGTACTCTCTAGTGTGTGGATTGAATGGAGAATACAGCATTGAATCAATTATTAGGGGGAGGGACGAGTTACTGATGACTGATGCTGGGTAATGTGATACAAGAACAATAGAGACTAAATGGGTAATCTGATTCACACTGTAGAAACTACTAAGAATAAAAACAACAATCTTTTCCGAAATGGTAAAAAAAAACACAAAAAAACAGCCCATATTTACCTCGGAAGTCACGAACAACACACACACACACACACACACACACACACACACACACACACACACGAAACAACACGCACACGGTAACAAAATATACATAAAAAGAATATATCTTCATATCACCTTCAAAGACTATAAGGTTGAAAATATCATCCCAGAAGTAAAGTTACATCAGCCTTATTATATGGAAGTAGCTATATCTCTATCCATTTCCTCTCTCTTCCTGATGTATGATAACTCACCCAAAACACCGGAACAAACACCTCTGGCTCCTCCCCGTCGCCGCCTTCCTCCTCCGACAGTATCACCTACGCTAGCATGATGGAAAGAACCTATAAACTGCAAGGGAGTCAAGTGCTTCGATAAAAACACCACATCACAACCTATACAGAACTACTCGAAGGAATCATGGATAAACAGAATTGGTTTAAGGGTAAATATAATTCTCTCGTTTTGAAGCTCACACTTTACCACCTTATGACACCTTCAGGCGCCCTCTGACACCCTCTAATGCCTTCTGACACCCCCCCCTGGCACCCTGTAACACCCGTATCACACCCCCTAGCACCCTGTAACACCCGTATCACACCCCCTAGCACCCTGTAACACCCGTATCACACCCCCTAGCACCCTGTAACACCCGTATAACACCACACCCCTAGCACCCGTATCACACCCCCTAGCACCCACACCTGTATCACACCGTATAGCACCTGTAACACCTGTATCAACCCCTCGTATAACACCCACCCTAGCACCCTGTGTATCACACCCCTAGCACCCTGTAACACCCATAACTGTCCTGGCACCCTGTAACACCCATCACCCCCTAGCACCCTGTAACACCCGTATCACACCCCTAGCACCCTGTAACACCCGTATCACACCCCCTAGCACCCTGTAACACCCGTATCACACCCCCTAGCACCCTGTAACACCCGTATCACACCCCCTAGCACCCTGTAACACCCGTATCACACCCAAAGACTGACTGACTGACTCCATCCATCTATCTAATAATCTTAATTGCAATCTTGTTTATACATTGAATGGATCATGTATAATACGTGATTATATATATATATTTGAGAGAGAGAGAGAAAAAGAGTAAATGAAGGAAAAGCAATTCAAGAAGACGAAGACACACACACATATATATTTAAGTAGAGAGAGGAATTAAGACCACCATATATATCTTCTAATATTATGTCCGTCCTACAGAAAACTGGGCTTACGTATCGACAGTTGTATGCGGCCTGGTGATTATAGTACTCCTTGCCTACCTGATATATTGTTACTGCCGCTTCATCAAGGTCAACACCGCACCCAAGCGAAGTAACCAAATGGTAAAGTCAAATTCCACTGGGTTTGGGGTTGGTGAGGTTAAGTTAGGTTTGGTTTGGTCCGGTGGGGTGAGTAGGGTAGGGTAGGGTAGGGTAGGGTAGATCAGATCAGGTTTAACATTGATTAGATCATGAATAGGTTAAGTCAGATCAGGGGTTGGTTAGGTTAAATAAGGTTAGGTTAGATTTGGTATTCTACGGTTCTACGATCCCAAGATTGATGGTCATTTTTTTCTTTTCCAACAAGATTAATATGTACACTAGCTACAAAAAATATCTGGAAATTTTCTTGTTTTGCTAAACGTGACAAAAGTCGAAGGATTTTTGACAACGCTACCGAGCCAACGGGAAGAGCGGGTGTACATTTTGAAATTCATTGGACCGCTCCTTTTAGATAATTTCTATAGCGAGTGTTCAGTAACTAAAACAACTATATGTGCATACTTTGTGGGAAACATTATGAGACCATGGACGATAACTTTTGATATATGAGGGCTGTCACTAAGTCACACGTAAAATTTCGGAGCATATCGAACCCCCACCTGCACAGATAGTTGTTTTAGCTACTGTACATCTAAAGCTCTTTCGCTTCCTCCCCTATACCTCAGTCTATGTTAACTTCAAAGATGCTGGTTATCTATTCCTCGACATCAATGAAAACTCCCCAACCCTTACACCTTGATATGTATATTTTTGACGGCATAGATTAACGTTCATCCATACATGAGATGAGATAAATGTATTAGAATTACACTACAGAGCAATATTAACGTAATCTTTATCATCTCTCACACTTATCTAGTTTTCTTCACCATTTCCACAACGACTACCGAGAGAGGGTGAGGTAAGGAGTATACAGATAATGATGGCGAAGTAAACACAGTAACATTCTGAAGTGTTTTATGTAATAGGTCTTCTTGTCTCGTCTCTTTTTTTGGGGGGAGGGGGAGGTGGGGAGAGGGGCATGAGAGGAGAGGGGCAGGGGAGGGGAGGTGGGGAGAGGGGCAGGGAAGAGGGCAGGAGAGGAGGGGCAGGAGAGGGAGAGGCAGGAGGGGAGGGAGGGGCGCAGGAGGGAGGGGCAGGAGGGGGGAGGGGGCAGGAGAGGCAGGAGGGGGCAGGAGGGGAGGGGCAGAGGGGAGGGGCAGGAGGGGAGGGCAGGAGGGGGGGAGGGGAGGCAGGAGGGGGGAGGGCAGGAGGGGAGGAGGGGGATCATATCAGGGCTTTACGAGTGACACAAACATGTTTTCCTTGGGAGAGGGAAACCTCTGTGTGTGTGTGTGTGTGTGTGTGTGTGTAAAAGTCGTTTGTAATGAATCCTGGTACCTAGAAATCAATGCTATGCTGACATTGAAATTTTCAAACTGAACAAATACAAAATTTCATGTGTGTTGAGGAGGTACACTCTTCCCCCACAAGCCTGGGGTCATTTTTTTTTTCGTAGACACACGACAAACGTCTTCTTTATTAACACACACACACACACACACACACACACACACACACGGGGATTCTAAGAGCAGTGTCGAGCCATCTTCAGAGCCCTGATATAACACCCCCCCCCCTCCGAGGGACAATTATTTATCTACAAAATATGTCTTGTTCTAGCTGAGGTGAGTGTGTTTCGACCCTTTCAGTCACGTCGTTCCAAAAAGAGGAAGAAGGGCGTGACTCCATCCTCCCTCTCGGTCTCAGCAGCCTCCCTCTCGGTCTCAGCAGCTTCCAGCCCCAAGCCGTTACCTCCACCTCGCCTGCAGACTTTACCAAAACAGGATAGAAGAAACACCTCCACCTTCAAGCAGATGACTTGTAACGTAAAATCTGATCAGAATCATCTAGTCTATAAATACGACCAGTTTGCCAATCCAAGCAATGAGATATCGTACAATCTACCATCCCAGATAGTTCCTGCAGCCCCTGAACATAATTACATAGAACCAGACGATCCTTACGATTACCTGGACGCCATTACACCTCATCATCCAGCATTCCAACTTCCTCTTAAAAGTGAATCGTCATATTTACGGCAAAATTACCACTCACAGCCTCAAAAATCCAGCCCATTCAACAGCTTACCGAAAGCCACATCCCGACTTCCTACTTACAAGACCGATGACCTTCGTTCGCCTAGGCCTCGCTTTCCCATCTCAAAACCTAAGCACTCACTCCCCTTTGCCCCGTCTGTTTCCAATAGAGACCCAAGACTATCCCCTAAGAGGCACCTTGTATCAAAAAACAACACCTTCTCCTCCTCCCCCTGTCTTCCCGTCCCTCCTTCCCCCCCTAAAGAATTCCAGTCAGCTACTTTTGCACTCCCTCTGACTCCAGATTATACAAGGCAGGAGAGCATGCAGGAAGCGACGGTCGAACTGGCTTTACCTAGCGAGAGTGCCATCCTGAGGTTCGCCAAACAAAACCGAGTCATGCGTCCTGTCACCATGGCGCTGATGGAGGTCGACAAGAGATTCCGACTCAAGTTAAAGCTGATGGTGGAAGACGATAATGAAGTTGGAGAGACAGACTATGAACACTGAACGAGTCTCACAAGAGTATTTGAGGACGATGATTTAGCTCTCCAGGACTCAAAGGGTTAACAAAGAATCACCTTGGCTGAATGGAAAAGAATTAAGATATAATCAGTGAGGAAACTTAAGTTAATTCAAGGTTAATCTAGATTATTAGATGATTCAAATGATAAATTATAGGTGATCTGATCTTATGTAACATTATATATACAATTACCTGTTACACTTCTCCTCATTGCTCACTTAACCCATAACTGTATTTTTTAGTTTTAGTATAGTACAAATACATCAATGACAGGTTACAGAATATTTTTACCATTACAGTAATTATATTTAGGCTCCTGTCTATACTTAGTTGATTATTCCAGTGTTGTTGTTTGTTGAGGATAACACTATGAGATCACCTGTACTTGCCAGGTAGCACATCCTCAGACGTGTATCTATGTATCTGTCTGTCTATATAATGAGGATCTGCAGTGACGTAATACACATATCCTTACTATATGCCACACCTTACTGACAAGTTAGAGAGATACGTGATTAAGGCTAAATAATTCATCTCTACGTACACTCGGCGGTCTGTTGGTAGCGCTGCCGTCTTCACATTTTGTAAGGCTGCAGTTAAAATCCAGCTGATAGATATGAGGTCTTATCCTGGTATATGTATAACTATGATTATTGTATGTAAAGAAAACAATTTAATTAATTCTTGCAAAATAGAAAAGTTTCATTATGTTCGGTGCCTTGTAGTGGCGATAGTGATGGGGGATGGGGGAGACGGAAGTTACGTTGATAATATTGTCGTTTCACCTTGCTGTACAGTACGCCACATGCACTATCACCCACCACCACCATACACACTGCCACCCACCTCCATACACTGCCACCCACCACCACACATCACATAATGAACTGTAACTGTACAATCACAACAACTACCACCACCACTATCACTACCACCATCACCCCCACCACCATCACCCCCACCACCATCACCACCACCACCAGGTTTCGAAGACGTCTTCTGCCGTAGCTCACAAACTTCCCCAGTGACCGACGCCAAGCTGTACGCTTCCGAGGGGCTGTCTCCACTTTTCAGTCACTCACCTGTGGCGTCCCCCAAGGCACCAAGATGGGACCGCTCTGCTTCCTTATGCTTATCAATGATGCCCTAAGAGAAACCCCCGCTCGCTGGAAATATGTCGACGACTCCACCTTTGGGATCAGTGTCAACAACTCTGCTCCCGACTATACTGCCTTCAGGATTTATTGAACAGTCTCCAAAATTGGGCCACCAACAAACACGTCACCATCAACCATACCAAGACCATGGTTATGCACATCAACCTCTTCTCCAACGTTATCCCACCTCCTTCCATTACTTTAGGTCCCCAACACACTCCAGGTTGTAGACTCCACTCAGCTTCTTGGCGTCACCATACACAACAAACTAAATTGGAAAACACACGTCAGTGAAGCTGTCAAATCCTTCAGTTTCCGTCTCCACTTCCTCCGCCGACTCAAGTCCCCCCCCGGAGTTCCTGCGCCCGAGCTCCTGAGTGTTTACTCAACATTCATACTTCCCGAGCTCACCTATGCCTCTCCTACCTGGTCTTCCTCCCTAAATGCCACACAGCGTAAACCCCTATAAAAAGTGCAAAAAAAAGGCAGGCAAGATTATTCTCCCCCCTTCCTACTCCACATATCAAGAAGCGCTCAACACACTGACCCTCTCGGCTCTCTCTGACCATCAACAGGACCTTATTTGCAAATTTGGTGAGAAACTTCTGCACCATCCTCGACACCGGCTCCTACTACCACCCGAGATCCCTCGTCCGAGAATTCCTGTTCGACACCACAACCGCTTCCAGCCCATACGAGCACGTACTGATCGCGATAAGAACAGCCCAGTCTCAACCATTGTAAAAATTATCAATAACTTGTAATCAACCAGTGTATTCACTCCTAGTCAATCTTATCTTTTTTCACTGTCACTATGTTGAAATGCCCTGTAGTATAACCTTCTCCCCACTTCGTCATTATATATCATATTTATATCACTTATGTTATTTGTATATTATTTGTCAATCAAGTGACCCATTCCCCAATTATGCAACTGTATATTTCCAGCCTTCCGACTGCCATGCCCTTTCAATAAACCGAAAATTATTATTATTATGATCATTATTCCCATCATCACTACCACCACCACCATCACCACAACCGCTACCAGGTATGTTTTCGTCTTCCAAGTAAACGTTACATTCTCACTCTCATCCCCAACGTCATGGTCTGTTTGCCTCATTCATTGTTTACCTCGACCCCTGTATATATTTACGTCATGAGAAGCCTAAGCCAATGTTTTGTGACGTCAGAGGTTGTTTACGTGAGGACTTGCTGCCGTCAGGACCAGTTAACGTCAAGACAATGTTACACCGTTATCTGTATGTCTGTCTGTCTAAAATCTTTATATCTATCTATATAAAATCTAACTATCTATCAATCTATCAATTTATCTAAAGACTATCGACAAACTCAGCAAAGGCGTATTCGGAACACATTTACTACCGCAGGACAAAAGAAAGTGGGTCACATTTTCCGGTATACTAAGCCTTCGGTACACAAGGAGGCAGCATGGCCGATATCCTACACTCCGCCGCCTACACTTCCTAAGTTGTAAAATACACGGGGGATGCCCTGGACACTAACCACCGACAAATAGGATAAGAGGCGAGACTTGTTTTCACTCGGCCTCCGCACGCTGAAGATTAAAAGTTATCATGAGAAGTTAAAAGTCCATAGCTTTCCCGCTGATAAAAACGGGCTTAGTTGTCGGCTCTGTTATATCCCGTTAACTCTTACGCTATAACATTCTAGTTTTTTGTGCCTTTCTTCATCTACCGACTATTACTACAGTATGGTGGAACGACATTCTCAGATACTACAGTGTTTAGATGAATTCAGTTATCTCAAAAATCCAAATGACTGACTGTTTTCCTCGTTTCCCCCACCCAACCTCCCACGCATTTTCACAAATTTAATTACTATGCAATTATAAATCAACAGTAACTAGTTCGTTGACTCATTTAACGACAAAAGACAAAACCAAATAAATATATTAGTTCATCATAAATTATTACGTTTTCTATTATAAATTCTTTTCGGTAACAAAAAACGGAGTTTTATGATAGACTTTATAAAACTCTTCGTTATGGATAGAATTTAGTAAACAATGAAAATAATATCAATAAATCAACTTAGAATAAAACGAGTCGACTAAACAAGTATCCCCTTACATAAAATTGCATCTTGCATTTAAATTACATAAAATCACAAACACATCTCTTTGCTTACTGCTACATTATATTCATTACTCACAAAATTAACCAAAATAACTTTCCTATCCCAACCTAACATAGGTGTTAATGATAATACCAAGACAATACTATGGTAACATGTAGAGAAAAAATGCAACCTATTAACAAAATGACTAATATAGGTGAGGTAAGTAACATAAACTTGAAGTGTGATTTAGTCTTCCCAGGGACACGAGTCAGGTATAGAATCATCTTCAATATCAAACACCTACACGTATTAAAATTATCTCCTTATCTCCCCATCTAATAAACAACAAGGATTAAATACAATAATTCACACTGAGGTTGTTAAGTTAATAAATAAGAACAATTAATTATCTTGCATATTAAATTGTACGAACTAACATCATCCAATTGTCCTCCACACACTCTTCCTACAATCCGGGAACTTAAGAATACAAACGACTGGATAAAACACAATCAATAACACAATCAATAACCAATTTATTTATACTATTATCTCGGCACATTTTTCACCATTTATTAAATTATTCTACAGGGTGTCCATAAATGATTACCCTAAAACCACTATGCTCTCATGTTTTTATCAGGGCAATCATTTATGGACACCCTGTATGTATAAATATTATGTCAAATAAGGGTATAAATATTGTCTAATAAATACATTCTTCTAAAAATAAATTCATCCCCCAAGGAAACTCTTTTAGAAAATATATAATTAATCACCTGGACGTCGGCAGGTGGACGTGTATCAACCTTTTAAATACTGAAATATTAATTATTTTATTCCACAGTTTCACAATATATGAGTTCACATGTTCTCTATATTACCCTCAGGGAGTTACAGTGTGTTTTAGTGAATATAAAGTAACGTATGAGAATGTGAACTGTGGTTGTAGAGACACACAAAGCATTACTCATCATCCTATGTAACTTGAAGAGATATGTATCATGAGAACTTTAAAATAATTATAGATTTTAGAGTAAATTTATCATAAAAATAAAAAGCTTTTTATTGTAATAGATTTTTCAGTATTAGTAAGACCTCTTATGTGTTTGAACTTACAATATAAATCTATTAATTTCCTTCCATTTTGTTCATGAATTTATACCTTAAATTTGTATTTTTTTTCCTATATTTAGTATCATCAAGAGCATTAGATAAGTTCCTGAATGCACCATAATGTCTTGTCATTAGCCACACGCGTACAATGTCTCACTGTCTGTTTGAAGAACTATGTTGAGGAACTGATGGATTACCTCGTCAGTATAAATCAGACTTCTCACAGTCAGAATCAGTCAAAATCTGCAACTTTACCAAGAGCTTGAAAGTTATGGAGACGGTGATTCTGTGTGTGTGTGTGTGTGTGTGTGTGTGTGTAAAAATATATTCCATGCCAACTTTGAACTCCTGACCTTAAACGCGTACAAAATATCAGGTGTACTGGTTTAACACCTGGCGACGAAAGCATTTAACACCTGGCGACGAAAGCATTTAACACTGGCTAATCGACTAACGAGTTAATTAACATTTACAAAACGAGAGGTCCCCATAAAGCAGCAGCAGCAGGCGAGAGAACAACGTCCCTTCCTCAGGAGTGTGGGTTTGGGGCGTATATAACCTGACGTTGAGAGAAACCCGCTAGAGCCGTGTCCCGCCACACAATCGATGAGGGTTACTGTGGCGGGCGTGTGTGAGAGACCTCCAACGGTAGGTGGTGAAGGCTATGGACTCACCACCACCATTAACCTCCATTACCACTACTGCTACCACCACCACTGCTGCTGCTACCACCATCACTACTACCACCACTGCTGCTACCACCATCACTACTACCACCACCACTACCACCACCAACTTGGAGTACCGATACATAACCGGTTTACTTTGATTTTAACCAGTCATTGTTTACAACTGTTACAAACATCGATAATAAGAAGACTGTCAGATATAACTACAGTAACTATTCTTCATGAACTCAGTCTATAGGTGAGAACTTTAAGCAACAAGACCGGACACAATATTACGGTCACCAATTTCAGAAATGAGGAGACTTGGGATCACCCGAAGAATCGACCCCAAATTTATTTCACCTGAAGATTAAACTAACCTAACTAAACCTAATCTAACCTAACCTAAAACTAACCAGACCTACATCAATCGCCCCCCCCCCTCTCTCCCCAGGTAGCGTTACGGTAGTTAATCTTCAGGTGAAATAAATTAACAGAGGTAAGTCAGGTGAATCTTCAGGTGATACGAGACTTGGTTACACACACACACACACACACACTTACAGGTCCATTACCACCTCCTCCAATATCTCTCACCAGTACCTTTCACCAGTATCTCTCACCAGTACCTCCTCCCCCAGTACCTCTCACCAATACCTCTCGCCAGTACCTCCTCCCCCAGTACCTCTCACCAGTCCCCCTCACCCAGTACTCCCCAGCACTCAACGTAATTGCACTCCTCCCACCTCCCCACCAGCACTCCTCCCCCAGCACTCCCCACCAGCACCTCCCACCCCAATATCTCACCAGCACTCTCCCCAGTACCTCCACACCAGTACCTCTCACCAGTACCTCCTCCCCCAGTACCTCTCACCAGTACCACCTACCCCAGTATCTCTTACCACTACTTCCTTCATTATCTCTCAGCTACAGTAACTACATAATTATTTCTCTTCATCTCACCCTCTAATTACTTTATACCAACTCCCACATTATTCAGTTTTCCATCGTTCTTTATCACTCATTCACAAATCGTTCTTTTCTCGTGTTATTATGATTATCTTTGTCTGTCTGTCTGTCTGTGTCTCTTTCTCTTTGTCAGTCTATCTTTCTTTCTCTCTCGCTCTCTTTTTCTCATTGTGTCTCTGTCTCTCGCTCTCTGTCTCTCGCTCTCTGTCTTGTCTGTCTCTCTCTCTGTATCTAATTATCTTCTCAGTAACTCCTACGTTTCTTATTTTCAATTGAAGCGCATCATTAGTTTACTTAATTGTTCTCTCTCTCTCTCTCTGGTGTTAATTTATTGTAATCACAATAGGATAATTTATGTTAATTTGAATAAAACTCCACGAAAAAGAATGTTATGTACGTTCATGTATGTTTATGTATGTGTGTATGTTTATATATGTGTGTACGTTCATGTATGTTTATGCTAATGTTTATACTAGTAATAATAAGTACGTCTGTCTTACCGTTTTTATTAATGTTAATATAAATCTAGTGTTTATATGACTGTTTATGACTATAATAAATGTTTATATCTATATATCGTGTTTGTGTGTATGTCTTGTGTATGTTGACTGTTAGTTTATATACACACACACACGTTACAATAATATACAGGTGATGGTTAGGTTAGGTTTACGTTAATGTTTATGTCGATCTACAGCTCTTGTATGGTTTTGTTTTATTTGTTTTATTTGTGTTTGTCATTTTTGGTTTATTTATTCATATTTGTGGTTTAATCTGGGTCTGTTTTAGTCGAGTACAAGAACATGTATGTAATGTATTGTACATACTACTTTTACTGTACACACTCACACACACACACCACATACCTACAAACACACACACACACACCACATACCTACAAACACACACACACACACACACCACATACCTACAAACATACATACACACACCACATACCAAACACACACACACACACACACACACACCATATACCCACAAACACACACACACACCATACCACATACCTACAAACACACACACACACACACACACACACACACCACATACCAAACACACACACACACACCACATACCTACAAACACACACACACACACACACACACACACACACACACACACACACACACACACACACACACCTACACACATACCACATACCACACACACACACACACACACACACACCACATACACACACAACACACACACACACACACACACACACACAAACACACACACACACACACACACACACACACACACACACACACACACACACACACACACACACACACACACCACAAACACACACACACACACACACACACACACACACACACACACACACACACACACACACACACACATGCACACACACACACACACACATACCTACACCACACACACACACACACACACACCACATACACACACACACACACACACACACACACACACACACACACACATGCCACAAACACACACACACACACACACACACCACACCACACACACACATACCTACAAAACACACACACACACAAACACACACACACACACACACACCACATACACCACAAACACACACACACACACACACACACATGCCTGACAACACACACACACACACACACACACCAATATACACACACATACCTACACACACACACACACACACACATACACACACACACACACACACACACACACATACACATACTACACACACACACACACACACACACACACACACACACACACACACCACATATTACAAATATACACACACACACACACACACACACACACACACACACACACACACACACGCCACATATACCTCAACACACACACACGTGCTCAGTCATTCAACACAATTAGCACGATACCATCAAGCTGGTGTATTTACTGCTGAATACTAATACCCAAATTTGCTCAATTCCGTCCATTTCCCCTCCCTCCCTCCTCCTTCCCCCTCTCATCCCCTTACTCTCTCTCTCCCTCCCTCCCCCTCTCATCCCCTTACTCTCTCTCTCTCCTTCTCTCCTTGATGCAATATTCTGCAACATACGTACTCTCCTAATGAAGTGACATTGACTTGCAACAAAATCTCATGGCAGGGCCCGTTTGCGAGTCCAATACTCCATAATTGGCATGCGAATCAATGTGTGTATCTCTCAGATTCGTTATGTTAATCACTAAAATACAAACAGGCTCCTGTAACTGAATTAGGACATCCGGACACTGCAATCGTAGGCGGAGTCAGCTCCATTTTCCATTAAACTTTATCGGTGGGAGGAGTTTCTTGCAATTCTAGGGTGGCGATTGGTTCGAGGGGATAATGACGTCACGTAGTGGGTGGAGCTAGGTGGCGAAAAACCGAGAGCTGATTGGCCGCCCGGGGAGAGTTACGTCAGAGTGAGGGGAGAGCTTTGCATTATGTTATGAGGGAGGTGTAGCCAAGGATAATACACGTTCAATGATTGGCTGCCTGTGTCGATATGTGTCAGGACGGAAGCTGTAGTTACGACAACAAATCAGCCGACAGTTGTGCACCTGCTGTCCCCTCAGACGGAAGTGGAACGTGTGGAGACGAGGGACACACACACATCGCTACCTGCACCTCACGACCACACCATACACCGCAGGTACGACTGACCATTTGGAAATTCACGACCAGATTGTGGAAGTTTGATTCGATTTTTTTATTAATATACGAAAGGAAAATTCTAAAGTGTTATTAATATTTATTCATTTTTTTTACTATTGCCTTATTGAAAAAAAATATGAAATAGAAAAAAAATTCACCGTAAAAAATTTTAAACCCAAAAACATTGAAAAGTTTATTATCGTTAATTATAAGAACAAAAAAATCGAGTATTATTATAGCTTATATGACCAATTTTCTTAATTAAATATCAGTGATCAAATAATTCTAAAATATATCGTCGAATTTCGTAAAGTTTACAATAAAAACTTTACGAATGCGTATACGACGGTCGTAAGTATGTTAACGGGGTTTATCAGGGGTTAAATGCGACGCGATGGTGGTGTTATTGTTTTGGAACGTGTGTGTGTGTGTGTGTGTGTGTGTGTGTGTGTGTGTGTGTTTATTGACCCAAAAATCATTCCTGTCAAGATACAAACAAAAAAATTACTTTAAAAGCATGTAAAAATAATTAAAATAAAATTGCATCTATTTGTCAACAGTTCAGACAATCAGTGGTGACTCGCATCTGATTTTTAGGCCTAAACACACAATGTAAACATCACCCTTACCCACACACACACACGTAGGCCTACACGCACACGCTCTCAAAAAATAGTATCGCCCCCTTAAATAAACCTTTAATTCAGGGTTCAGAAGTTCGAAATTTGGGTTCACTTCACCACCGGATGTTTCCCCTCTCCCTCATCCGTGCCGCGGCTTATCGCTCCTACACCTGCCTGCACTTAAATCGTGAAAACACACCTGTCTTGTTTACATATCGATATCATACCTGTGATACGTATATTTAACTCTTAACATACCTGCCTTGACTTTATATTTACAATACACCCGCATTGCTTTACGTACTGTCAACACACCTGCTATGTCGAGGATTCATTACTTATTTACAACACACCTGTAAAGTTTATATATTTACAAAACACACATGTGAAAACAAACAATTAAATCACAAAGTTTTAAAATAGTTAAATAAAACTTCCAATCATATTTTCATAAATTAAAAAATTAAAAAAAATTCATATTTGTTTGGGGAAATGAAAAGCCGAAATTGGAATCCGATCGCATAATTGGTCAGTATTAGTAAGAGTATTGTGCACAGGTGTTAAGAGGCAACGGATACAGGTAGATTACAGTAATTTTCATACCTTTTACGTCAGCGCAAAAATACTGTAACCTCACCAGTTTATTTTACCTTAAGATTAACCACCCTAACGTTAAACTAATCTAATACTAACCTAACATAGTCTAACCTAACCTAACATTACATAATATAAACTAACCTAACTTATCCTAACCTAATTTAACCTAACTTAAATTAACCAAACATAAACAAACCGAACTAAACCTAAAATGAAACTAGATTGCGTTAAGGGGTTTGGTTTAATCATCAGGTGTGTTATGCTAGGGTAATTAATCCCCAGGTGATCTAACATACCAAAATAACACCGGGTGATTAACAATGTTCAGTCGTAGTGAAGAAAGAAAATACCTATCCCTCACGCACGAACAACATCCATCAGTTTGGCAGTAAGGACTGATGTAGAAGCGTATTATAATGTCATTAATAAGTGAAAAAAAAATCTAATTAAAAACCACTATGTTAAATTTACCTGTCTGGTCAATAATGAGGTTAATTAATCAGGTAACAACATGGAAGAGTAGCAACATCTCCCGCGCTTATTGACAATGTTGTGACGGTGACAGTGCCATTCCATATGACACATTGATGACATGACAGAAATAAACAGAAGAGTATCTTATCATGTGTGTCATTTTGCTCATATGACACGAAGCAACTCATATTGATTAACTCATGGAAGACTTGTTGTGATTATTCATACTAACTCAGTCTAAAGTGTGTGTGGAGTCGTCAGTGAATCAAGTCTGCCTCACTACCGATTCATATTACCTCAGTCTAATTGATCAACACGTCATACTAACTCAGTCTAACTCTCACCGATTCACACTTACTCATTCAGGATTCATGCTTAATCTAAATCAATTCTATACTTATTCATACTGATTCAGGATTAATCTAAATCATACTAACTCATTATAACTCATACAGACATCATATTTACTTAGTCTAATTCACACTAGTTCATACTTAATCATTACACCCCTTTAGCACAGGTACATTAGTGTAGGTAGTTCTTGTATACCTGTGGTAGATTGGTATTGCATGGTAGTGTGGTAGAAGTAGTTTGGTATGTGGTAGATTGTAATGACGATGTGGTAGAGAGCTATTCCCTGGTAGTGTTGTATTAAAGTTTTTTTTTAGTGTGGTAGATTGTAGTGCTGATCTTGTGTGATGATGTGGTTGAGTAATTTAGTGTGGTAGAATGTGGTAGATTCCAATTATGTAGTGTTGTGGTTTTAGCAGTTCAGTGTGGTAGAATGTGGTGCTGTGGTTGAGTAGCTTAGTGTGGTAGAATGTGGTGCTGGAATGCCTGTAGGTCTAGCTCTGTGTGGGAGTGTGGTGATGGTATGGTGTAGTGGTATGTCTAGTGGTAGTGGTATGTCCTGTGGTGGTATTGTGGTACGGTAAGGTACTGCTGGTGAGGGGAAAGGGTGCTACTAGTACTTCTACTACTACTACTACCCCTCACACCCCCCGTCACCCCCTCACAACCACCATCACCCCCTCACAACCACCATCACCCCCTCACAATACACCCTAGAACATTGATTGACTGACCTATACTGACTCCATCGATCGTTACTGTCTCTCTTACGATCTCATCACACACACACACACACACAAACACTATTCGAGGCATCAACTCTCCTAATAAGCTGTTTGTATCGATACAGTATGGACACGTGTTAAAATCCTTGCATGTTTGTTTATCTATCTATCGAGTCATTACCACACAAACAAATTAAATCAAAATCTATTTCTCACCTCAGATTTGTTCCCCTCATCACCCTTCCCTCCCCTCATCCCCCTTTCCCTTCATCTCCCTCTCTCTCCTCCCCCCTCCCTTCATCACCCACTCTCCTCCCCTCCTCATTATCAACCAGCCTCCCGATACTTGTACAGGGGAGCACCTTGGTTACCTTAAACGACTCTACCTACCAGTTCTACCGCAGGACCGAGCAAAGGCGTCTTATCTACGTATGTCTGACGGTGATCGTACAAGGAACGTAGAAGGGCCTATAATGTGTACCCTACTTTATACGGTACTGGAGGGGTTATAATTATGTACGTGTGTGTGTGTGTGTGTGTGTGTGTGTGTGTGTGTGTGTGTGTGTGTGTGTGTGTGTGTGTGTGTGTGTGTGTGTGTGTGTGTATGTGTGTGTACGTGTGAGTGTGTGTGTGTTTCTTACACCCTGTAGTGTTACTTCTATTTACCTGTCCACTAGATTGCTGTGTTATTACAGATTTCTCGACCCTTAACTGGTAGAGTTATACCTGAGAGTGTACATGTTAATTACAGGTGTGTGTGTGTGTGTGTGTGTGTGTCACTATGGTAGCCAACTGTAAACATCTTAACTATAGAATATCACTGATATCTTTTAAAAACCTGCAACAGTAGGATGAACCTATAACGACCTGTAACTAACTTTAGTACTCTACATAAAGATAACCTGCACCCATATCACCACACCTAATAACCTCGTAATTGACCTGTAAATGACCTGTAACTGCAGCAAATTACCTGGAGAAAAAAGACCTGCACGTTACCTGAAACTGAATCGTGACAATCTGAGAACCTCAAAAAAAAACCTGTAACGCCACTGTAACACGCAAGGAGGACTTGTAAGTACAGACTGACACGTGAGGGGGTGTATCTACCTGTTGTAATTAAACAGGTGTGTCTTCGTTACTCACCTGGCCAGGACGTATAACGAAGAACACCTCCTCAGATCTCGATACGATAAGACCCAGATTCTTGACCACCTGACACGCGGAGACAGGAGTAGGGGAGTAAGTGTAAACAATAGTAAACAAGGAAGACTAACTGGACGTAAACAAGGGAAACTAATTGTAGATAAAAGTAAACAAACGAGACTAACTGTAGACAATAGTAAACAAACAAGACTAACTGTAGACAATAGCACACAAGGGAGATTAACTGCAGACAATAGTAAACAAGGAAGACTAACTGTAGACAATAGTAAATAAGAGAGATTCGCTGTAGTCAATAATAAACAAGGGAGACTAACTGTAAACAAAAGCAAACAAGAGAGAACTAACTGTAAACAAAAGCAAACAAGAGAAAACTATCTGCAAACAATAGCAGTTACTTCGCCTAAAGTAATCAACCAGTCCCGAAATGACAAGAATAAAATAGTACTGTAAGGAACCTTTGAGAATCCACAGCAGTGAACCCTTGAGCAGGATAACAATAGCAAGAGGTTCGAATCCACGATACTGGACGCTGGGGGTTTCGATCCGTTATTTTGGCGGGTTACGTGAAATAATCGGGTCCCGTGTGCAATAATCGGGATGTGATTAATCGGATTCTGTGTGCAATAATCGGGGTGTGATAAATCGGGTCCCGAGTGTATTAATCTGGGTGTGTGTCGTAATCTATTTTTTTTTCGGTATTGTAATCTGAGTGTGGTAATCGGCTTCTGAATGCTGTAATCTGAGTGTGATAATCAGCCTCTGAGTGTTGTAATCGGGATCCGAGTGTAATAATCGGGTTCTGAATGTGATAATCGAGGTCTTGAATTCGATGGATCTGGCGGTCTTGATTCGGTAATTTGTCACTAATTGGTATCAATATAATTGGGGCTTTCGATTTGATAATTGTATCTTAGATATGATTATTGGGTCTTGGGATCTATAATTAAGGTCTTGGGTTTGATAATTCGCGGCCATAGATTCTATAACTAGGTTCTAGTCCGGGTTTGATAATCAGGGTGAAGGTCCCTATATAATCGGCAATATTGAATAGATAATCGAAT